ATGTTGTTTTCGGGCCTGACGTTCCGATCCATCTTATTCTGGGGAACGCTCTCGTCGTGCCGCCGTGCGAGGTGAACTCAGGCTGATGGACCGACTATCAGATCGCGGCCAAGGCGGAACTGGCGACCACTCCTCCCTCTCCCCCGGGACGATCCTCATGTGCAGCGCCTTCTCCAAGATGGTCGCCTCCCTTGCCACTTACCCACACGAAGTCCTTCGTACGCGACTTCAAATCCGCCGTTCACCTTCATCCTCCACTTCTCCCTCTTCTCCGGCTCCCCCCAACGGAGGTCGCGGTAGCCTTGCAATACGCCCCACCCCCTCTGCCCCTCCTCCGTCCGTGGTTACCCCCATCCCCCTCTACTCTCCCCTCGTAACAGGCTCGAACCCACCCTTACCTTTTCCCAACCATTCCGGATCTGCATCCCCCGCAGCCCTGGGTCAGTCCGGCCCGACGAAAACGCCCTGGCAACCACGACCAGGCGGAGTCATCGACACGTTCCTAAAGATAAAGAGGCAGGACGGGTGGAGAGGATTCTACAGAGGTCTATCGATAAACCTCGTTAGGACCGTACCGAATAGTGCAGTCACAATGCTGACGTGAGTGCGGCATCGCGGCTTTGCAATGGATACTAAGCGGACGCGGACGTGGACGCGGTGTGGATCATGCGTGGAAGCGACGAAGCGAGGCCTTGCTGACGATGCGCGCAGGTACGAGCTCATCATGCGACACCTATCATCATCATCATAAGTCTTGGGAAGTTGCCACAAGCATACATCTACAGAGAATTACATGCATGCGCTGCGCTCCATGATTGCGAAAGGGATTACCACACCGCCAGCACCACCAGCACCACCAGCACCACCAGCGCTTGTATGTCCGGAGTCGTGACCAAACCAGGCCAGACCATTTGACGGGTCGACGTCCGTTCTACTTGGCCAGAGCCTTCTGGATGCCCTCCACGACAGCCACAAAGGCCATCGCTCCCGGGTCGGGGGGCATGGGCTTGCCGTCCTCCCTCTCACCGACATAGGTCGCTCGGCCCAGCTTGGCCTGCATGACCTTTGTGGCCTCCCCTCCATCTCGCGAGGCCTTGACGGCGGCGTCGAGCGAACCCGTCTTGGCCAGTGTCTCGGCGAAGGGGATGAGCGCATCCATGACGGTTCGGTGGCCTGTTCGGGCTGCTGTGCGCTGCTTGAGGGTCTCGAGGGCCTCGAGGGCGATGGTGCCGAACCACTCGGGGGTGACGGTGGGTTGGGAAGAAGCGGATGAGATCAGGGCGTTGGTAAGCCCGGCGAGGTAGATGGAGAAGATGGCTCCGAGGGTACCGCCGCATGCGTCTACGAGAGCCGAGGGTCAGCCGAGGTTGAGGTCGGATTTACGTATACGGTCATTGGCGATTGGAGTGTGGGGTAATCATGTGTGACGCCGCGCCGCACTCACCATCGATAATCTCGGACAGCTCGCGGAAGAGGTCCACGAGATCTCCATCCGCGCCGAGACCCTCCTTGAGCGCGCCGAGGACGGCCTTGGCGCCGTTCGCGCAGGTTTCGCCGCAGTCGCCATCGCCGACGATGGTGTCCCAGCGAGTCAGCTCGGGCTCGAGGTCGATGACATCCTCCGACGCGGTCTTCATGGCGCTCTTGATGGCGTCGGCGGACACTGCGGCGGCGTCAGCGTCCGCAAGGGGGACGAGCGAGAACGAGCTGTCTAGGAGAGGGCACACTGCGGGCCCCGACGACACGTGGGTCGGAGGTTCCGCGATAAAGGTAAAAGAAAGGTGGTGCTGCACTCACCGATGATCTTGGGACCACCCTTGACCTTTTCCTTCTTCTCCTCCTCGACCTCGGTGTACTGGTCCTGCCTCTTCCTCTGCAGGCCCTTGGGCACGGGCCTGAGGTTGGCATTAGAGGGCCACGCCGAGCTGCGGTGCGGCGCGTCGATGAGCTCCAGAAGAGTGTCGACCGGGATGCTGGTCTCGGTCGAGACGTTGGTGAGGTTGAGCAGAGAGATGCTGACTCCGGGCATGTTCATCGAGCCCATAAACGGTCCATTGAAGATCCTGACTGGGACGATTCCCCGGGACTCGAGCTGATTGAGGGTCTCGTCGGCGACGGCGCCCATCTCGAGGGCGGACATCCCGCCCTGGTTGTTGATGAGGAGGACGAGCTGGTCGTTGTCCGCAAACTTGACAAAGGCGCGCTCGGGGTCGTTCTGGTCCAAGATGAGATCAAGGAGGCGGGTGATGAATTCCTCTGCAGAAGGCTGGGCGATGTTGAACACTCCCTAATCACCATGAGCAGAGTCCCTGTCCCGGTTCCGGTCTGGGATGAATATGATTGTGATTGGCAAGTCGGACGCCGACCCACCGTCTCGTTGTGCAGACCCAACCCGATCTCGACGCGCCCCTCGGGGATCTGCCACTCGCCCGTCCTCCCGGGGACGTGGCAGTGGTCGAGCGCGGCGCAGATGGAGCCCGTGTTGGCGGAAAGGGACCTGCCGAGGGAGACGAGGTCGTTGAACCCCATGTCGGCTTCGGAACCTGCGCCGAGGATCTTGCAAACTGAGGAGCACGACGAGTCAGCAAGGTTCAAGGTTCAAGGTTCGGCTGCAGCGGCTTCGGACCAGTCTGCCACCCTGCTCTCAACGCCGCAGTCATCTGAAGGTTGCGATGTCGCTCATCGCGGAGTCATCCAGCGCCCAGAGCACCGCATGGACCGCATGGACTTGCGATCGAATGACACCACGACCGTCGGTCCGCGTCCTCCTGCGTGACGCCTCCCGCAGAGCTATCTCACACTGCTCACTCACCAAGAGTCACACCAGCGAGACAACGCCTGCCGACCATACTCCCCCTCGACCTCGGCACCGACACGTCGTCGCCCACAACCACGAGCTCGACGTTGTCGAGCCCCGCGGACTTGGCCATGAGCCTGGCGAGGCCGAAGTGGAGGTTGTCGCCGGTGTCTGCGGTGTCAGCGAGGTCATGTGTGGGCTGACGAGAGAAGGGGCGCGGGGAGCTCTCCAAGGAGCCTCTGGGGTCTGGGTCTTCGATGGGTGCTCGATTCGTTTTTTCATACCTCCCACCATCTCTTCACCAGGGCATCAAGTTACCAGGCCATCTCAATGGCCCAGACTGCCCCAGACACCTCCCCAGCCTCGTATTGCTCCTCTTCCTCCCGGTCGGATCCCCCGAGCCCCGCCAATGCCCCACTCACAGTTCGTGATAATCAGAATCGTCCCCTTATCACTCGGCACCGCCTTGATCGCCGCGCCCACCTGCTTCGCGCTGGGACTCGCAAACACGTCCCCAGCCGCCGAAGCCGAGAGCAGACCCTGCCCGACGAAACCGGTCGTCCCGGGCTCGTGGCCCGAGCCGCCGCCGCAGATGAGCGAGACCTTGGAGCGGTCGTGGTCCGCGCGATAGACGACTTTGAGGGAGGGGATGAGGTTGAGGTATGGGTGCGCAGCAACGAGCCCCCGCAGAGAACGGACGACGAGCGTCGTGTGGTCGTGGAAGATGTGACGGTCGGTCATGGCGGCGGTGATAGTGACGGTGGAAGCGGAGGCTTCGACAGAGAGGAGCACGCGGGAGGTGTTGGAGGTGTTGGAAAGAGCTGGAATGGAGGGGTTGAGATGTGTGAAGTTGTCCTGGGAGATGGAAAAATGCCAAGTGAGAAGGAAGATGACCAGTTGTGAGCCGGGCTATTCTCGTGTGGAGTATCTGTTCACCAAAGACCGTTCTTTAGCGCGAAGCCATCCCATCAATCTCTTAATCTGGATCTGGGCCAGACCACTTTCTTCCCTCCCCCTCGTTGCTTCCTGCTTCCTTCCTACCTGCTACTCTCGGCTGCATCGTGCCGAGTCCGAGTCCGAGTCCGAGCCCATACTTCCCCATACTTCCCTTGCTTCCCTTGCTTCCCTTGCCAATGCTTTACACCCCTATGCATCCCTCCACCTCGCCGTTGTCTTTGTTCCATCCCTCCCCCACTCCGGGACCCCGTTGTTTGTGGCACTTTCTCATCTCTCCGGCTATTACCGGTCGGTCCGGCACCGGAACGATACGAGGATCCTCGGGACGATCTCGCTATGATTCCATTCATCCCATTCCATGTCTTCTCGACAACGCTCCGAGCCGACTCCCAACACTCCGAGACGCCGAAGCGACTCGCGAGGACCCACGTTCACCCAATCGGAACTCGGCACGACCCAGTCCAGCGGATAGTTAACATCCCGCCGGCCAGTGCGGCACTGGCCAAGGAGGCGAAGGAATGGAACGATGCGCGCAGACTGCGGAGATTCGTGCGAGGCGAGCGAAGAAGCGAGGTATTGCCGGAAACTGCGACCATGTCTGCATGCCGTTGTTCGTCCACGGACTGCAGCGCGCACCGTGCAGGGACAGTGGGGCGGGTACCCGGGCCGGAAGAGCAGCTCAAGGGGCGACACGGCGACACGGCGACACGGCGACACGGTCCAGAGCAGGTCATCGACGGTAGTGGCGGTGTGGGGACAGTGGCAATTGCGTAGCAGCGTAGCAGTGGCAGTGGTTGTAGTCAAGTTGCGATGACACGCGTAGAGTCGTAGAGTCTCCGAGTTGAACAGTGTCCCCAGATGCTTGGAAGACACCAACCAAGTGATCGGCATGCGACTGAGATATGCAACGGATCGCCCCCACGTGAGAGAAGACATCGAGTTCTCTCTGCCTCGCAGTAAGGCCCACCATCCGCGTGGCTATGAAGCAAGGTCGTGTGTCACTCACTCGCATCATGCTCATACTGACATATACTTTACTAAGATGTACATCGTGACGATCCTATGAAACCGGAACGATTGTGGTAACAGCGATGACAGTGGTTCTGAAACACCACTCAGCGCAGACATACATAGCTGCCCCTGCCCGCTTCTTGCTTCTTTCCTCATGCTTCGTTATTACTCCTCCAGAACCCTTCCGTCGCCGTTGACCTTTTCCCAGTACGTGTACCCCTGGCTGGCGCACTTTTCACATCCCGCCCAGACCCCTCACCATCCCCATCCCGCCCTGCATCGTCTGCCCGCCCTGCACATTCTGCACATTCTGCACATTCTGCACATTCTGCCCCGCTCCACCTGGCGCACCACCCGAAGGCGGTCCCTGTCCCTGCATCATCTGAGTTCCAGTCGCGAGCAGCCGCTCCAGATCGAGCGTGTCGGCCGGGGCGAAACTCATGTTCTCGACGGTATAGCCCGCCATGAGGTCCGCAAGCCAATATGGACCTGAATCACGCATCTGATCAGCACTTGCGCTTGCCCATCTACATCTGCATCTACGCGAGACTCATGATACAGCGAAGAGCCCACTCACTCGGACCACTGCCACTGCTCTTCGCGATGGATTCGCGCAAAGACGTTTCAGTCGCCGGACCGACGTTGTTGGGATGTGATGGATCGGCCGTGAATCGGCGTAACAGACCCTTGTCCGGCAACGATATGAATGTCTTCTTATTGGCTTTCGTCTTGGACCGATTAAACCCGGATCCTGCAGATTCAGTATCAGCTCCCGCTCCAGTCGATCAACACGGCGGGGCCTCGCCGACCTGCTGGGAACACCCGAAACTCGTGAAAAGAGAAAGATGATACGAGCCGAGCTCGATAGGAAGCCCGATGTCACATTCCTCTGACTCACGTTTCTCCAGTAGACTCGCCACGTAGTTTGCGCCTGCCCAATACTGCTCCATTTTCTGCACCGCGTTGAGCAGCGCCGTGAAGTTCTGCCTCGCCATGGAGACGAGGAACATGTCGGTTGGGTTCCCGGTGGATTCGCTAGCCTGCGCGGCACGCATCTCGTGGATGAGAGCCATGCTACGGGACGAGCAGACGAGGATCAGCGGAACCTCTCGGGAAGAAACGACCGGTCGACTCACGCTGCGACGTAAAGCGGCTGGACGATGAACGGCGTTGAGATCTGTCAAAGAATTAGCACGCATTTCAACCGCAACGCAGTCCGGAGGTGGGACGATTGGATTCTTCATGGACTTCGATCCACTCACATAGGATTCTCCCGACACGAGATCCGCAAACACCATACACTCGCAGATCTGCCGCGAGCTGGCAAGTGAGAGCTTGATGTTGCGGCTGATTCCCTGGTTGAGCGGCGTCTCGATCCCGCTCGGCGACTTGAGGAGTTCGGGGTGGTATATCAAAGCGAGGACTGCGTGTGCCCAGAGATGTAATCCGAGGAAAGCGCCCTTACGGTCGGTCAGCCACACGCCCATCCAGTGACGCAAGGTTTGGTTCAGTGACATTGACTCACACCGTGGCCCCGCGCCTCCTGATGCTTGAAATTCTCGATATTCCACTTGAGACTTTCCGGCAGACCCGCGATGAACTGCATGAGCCTCATCTGAAGCTCCGCGAGTTGCTCGGCTAGCGGTTCCGCCGTCGAGACCAGCGTCCTCGCTTTCCCTCGCCGGCCGTTGAGGACGTTTGATATCCTCCCACAGATGATCATGAGCTTGACGAGGTACACGAACGGGACGGGCTCAACGGCTTCGACGGGGTCGTTGGGCGTGTTCCTAGCTGGATCGGGGAAGAAGTCGGCGTCCTCCGGGAGAGGGATCTCAATGATGTCCTCTGGTATGGATGCCGGTCGACCCGTAGCGAACGCCACCACTCGATCCGTAACGAAGATCGACCAGAAAAGCAGTTTGGTTCTGATGACGTGTGCGGGTGACTCGTAGATGTCCGAGATCTCGTGGATACCAATATCGATGCCCATGCGTATTGCCATACCCGAAAACTCCCACAGGCCGGATTCGGACGACTGCCCGTAATTGGCCCAGGCGAGGAACAGGAGGCCGGAGACGACATCGTACGTCGGCAGGTGGATCAGGGGGACGATGAGCTCCTGGGCCTTTGCGATGAATGGCGCACAGGCCTGGGTCGGATTGTCCCTTGCTTCAGGCGAGAACCTCGCTCCGCACGCGCAGATACACGCCGCGAGGAACTGCGACATGGTGCCGGACTCGAAACGCTCGAACATGCGCTGCCGAGAGACAGAGGGGAAGTGCTGGGACATGTGTTTGAAGAAGAGCGCGAAGAGTGGCTGCCAGATGTGAGGGTGGGGCATGCCTGTCGAGTCGAAGATATCCTGTGGAGCGCGTGAGGGGGTGACGGGCAGGGACTGGTCGGGTTCCGGATGGGGCGCCGCCGCCAGAGGTGAATCTGCGGATCGCCGTTGCAGCTTGAGCGAGATGCGGTTGACACCGGGGTGAATGGCGGTGGATCCGGACTGCAGGTGAGGCGTGAGCTGAGCTCGGCTCAAGACGGGTATGCTGGCGAAAGGCGGCGGTATAGAGGCAATGATGGATGGTGTGAAATGGGCGTCTGAAACATCACTTACGATTCGATAGTAAAACAGCTCGAGGTCCTGATCCTCCGCTGGATTCCCCTCGATGTACGCCGCCTGATTCTCCAACGCATTGATCAACCGCATGTCCGTCGCTGGAGACGTCATGAACTGCGCCATGGTGGGTTCCCCAATCTCGGCCATGGGGAAGCTAAACGTTTGATCTTCTGGTGTGAATCCCGACGGCCAGACAAAGTTGCTCATTGTCGCTCCTCCTCCAGTGGAATTGAGACCGGCGCCGGCACCGCCCGCCGCGCTGCTCCCGGTGCCGATACCGGTGCTGGTGGTGCCCCCCGCACTGGTCTGGCCGAGGTTGGAGAGGTTGGAAAGGGACCAGAAGTCGGTGGGATCATACGTCGTGTTGCTCAGATTGGTCGTGTATTGCGGTTGTTGTTGTGACTGATGCTGCGATTGCTGCTGTTGCGGCGGCGGTGGTTGCTGCTGAAGATGCTGTTGCTGTTGCTGTTGTGATCGGTGTTGCTGTTGCTGCTGTTGTTGTGGGACCGGGTCAATTTCCTTTGGAATCGTCAGCCCCGGCTACAACGATCCGGACATCTCGCCCTCATCCGTACCAGGCAGATTCACGAGATGGGACCGGAACTCGGCTGCTCGGGGGACACGTCCACGTCCACTCACATCGTCCGAAAGGACCTGCTCGCCCCCCTTTGACTCGAGCCGTTTCGCCTCCTCCATCTCCCTCCTCGTTCGTTTCTTCCGCCGACCCGAGGGCCACTCGCACTTGACATTTGCTTTCTGGCATGCCTACGGCGAAAACGCATCAGCCAACGCAGAACGCATGGGACGAAACGCGGTCGCCCTCCATTCAGACCTCGGCGATGACGGGCTCAAGTGCCATCTTCGGCTTTGGTCCACTTCCACTTCCGTCGCCGGGAAAGCACCATGGATCTCGCGGCAGGGCACACCGACGAGGGAGGATGAGGGAGGGGATGAGGCGCAAGTCCACATCGAATCGACGCGACCTACCGAGCAGATTGGTCTTTCTCCCGAACACCGTATCCTCTTGGTCCTGCAATAGAAGCAAGCCAGCTGGACCCTCTGAGTGCCTTCTCCGTCGCCCCCGTCGCTCTTCCTCCTCTTCCTGTGAGATCGAGTCATCAGCACTCGCTCTCGCGACGGCGACGCCAGATGTCATTCGTGCGGCACGGGCCGATGTAGGTATGGCAGCCAGATAGGCCGGGGACGGGAGGAAGACGAAACGAGAGACAATCGCGTACCTTGATTCTGGATCGTCACCGTCCTCGCCATCCTTTTCGTCACCTTCCAAGCCATCTTGCTGCGTCGAAGAGCCCATGCCCTGCGGGTTACCGTTACCAGAATTCGCCGCACTCGCACCGGTACCAGATGCCCCAGAAGGTCCCGCAGGTGGTGCTAGCTTTGCTTGAGTTGTTCCACCTCCCCCTCCCGTTCCGTTGACATGCCCATCACGCTTGATGTTTTCACCGCCCCATCCCATCCCGCCGCCAGAGGATGGTCCTGCGCCGGCGCCTGCACTAGTTCCCGTCGCAGCCCCAGAGGAAGATCCTCCTCCTGCCCCGGAAGAGTTCGGACCCGTCCCAAAATCGAACTGGGTGTAATCCACGAACCCGCTGCCCTGCATGTTTCCTACTGCCTCTTGCTTCTGGCCGTCGCGGTGGATTCAATATCTGCTTCTGCTTGTCTGCCTTCCTTCCCCGTGCCTCGTCCTCTTGGCGCCTCGGTGCGGAGCCCGTGGCTCGATGCGTTCTTGCGTAGACGGTAGTGCTGGTGCCGGTGTCGCCTGGTGGGTGATGTGGGTATGTGCAGGTGTCGTCGTGTGAGATGGGTGCAAGGAATCAAGATGTGAAATGGCCAATAACCAGTCTGGTGGAAGTGTGGATGGATGTAGCACGCTGGTGCCAGGGCTGGGTGGGGGGGCGGGGTCTCCCGTTTGCGGGCAAGAACAGGAGCGAGGGCGAGGCGGGGCGGCAGAAGCCGGAGTTTGAGACAACATCACGAGACAGGACACCACCACAGATCAGCCCGGAATCAAACCCGCCGGCGCAGCGCATGTATATAACTACAGGATACATCGAATGCAAGTCGGTGTATCAAGGTCTCTCCACCTCTGCCGCACCATCGGCGCCTGCGGCTTCGCTGTCCTGCTTTCTCTGCCTTTCTCGCTCATATCTCGGAATGGTATATCTACAAATGGGGTGGGCGAAGAAGCTGCTTGCGCATTGCGCAGACTGGCTGGCTCATCGGGAGAAAACATTCAATGCCGTCAGGACACCAATCAACGGCTGCATCAGTGTCAGCGGACCGCGCCGACCACTGGTAAGACCATCATCACACTTACTCCTCGGCCCATTCGTTCTCCTTGCGGATCTGCTCCTCCTCTTCCGCGGTGAAGCTGCGGACGTGAGCGTCATTCTCAGCGCTCATCCGGGAAGCGGTAATACTCCGGAAGACGCAGCCTGGAAAAGATAGATGAGCAGAGTCTGCACTCACTCGTTGGTGATGTTGAAGAGCTTGCGGATCTCCTCGGGCGTCTTGCCCTTGATCATGTTCGCAACGGTCTTGCACCCGACGTCCCTGGCGCGTGGTAAGCAAAGATTCGGCGGGTAAGGGAGGACCGCGACAACGCGACAACGCGACGACACGACGACACGACCACGCAATACGCTTGGGGGGTTCGGGGTGTCCAGTCGACGAGGATGGAGAAGTGGACGGCGTTCGAGATGATGGAGCGAGGAGCGCTCGAACAAGGGCAGCTCTGCAGAGGTGACACTCACAGAAGCGGCTTGATGTCAAGGTAGCTGCATTCCATGAGCAACGACACGGCATCACAGGTGTTGTAGCACTTACTTCGCCGCAAGGATGATCTCGAACAGCATCTCCTGGTCGACTTGCTGCAGAGTGTTAGCATCTGAATCGAGCGGGGAGATGTCTCTTGAGCAGGAGTGCGCTAGCGTAAGGGCAGGGCCAAAACCGAAGCAAATTGGTCATGGGAGTGGACGTATCAGATCCGCCAAAGGACACCAATTTGAGGACAATGGTGTCGTATGGAAGGTCGGAAGTGACTGGAGACGGAGAATAAAGGGAGGTTGAACGAAGGAGCAGCGGATCGACACGCACGATGAACTTGGCGTCCCACTCGCCGATTTCCGCGGTCTTGCGACGCGCATCGTCCTGGTCATTCGCGTCGGGAGCGGGGAGGGGGTCGTTCTTGTGGTGCTCGCAGTACTGGAGGACTTTGACGAGGACCGACGAGGAGACATTAGGGAGGGGGACCTGCATGTCCTGGTGGGCCCCGAGATCTGGGGGGTGCGAGTCAGCAACGCGGCTGGCGTGGACGCGAGGGTGCCTATGGGGTGGATGCGATCATGGATGTGAGGACGGAGATAGGGGAGGTCATACAGCTGGGAAGAAGGTTGGAAAGACATTATGTGTGTTAATCGAGGGGGTAGGTGCGCGACAAGTGAATGATGGTGGTGTCGATGGCGTCCAAGATATGCAGAAGTGACTATGTCAAGTATAGGCAGAGAGCCAACGAGAACACCAGTACACCCCCAGCTGAGTCTCAGACACGACACGACACGACACGACACGAACGACACGCCACGCCCACTCACCCTCCATCATGCTCTTGATCAGCACCGACCTCTCGGCGACCTTCTTCTCGACCGTGTACTGCTCCTCGTCCGAGGTGACGAGCACGATTGTCTCCTTCTTGTCTTCGGCCATGGCGGTGGTGGGGCGATGTATCGATGAGAGATGGAACGGTGAGCAGAGCTGAATACGAGCTGAAGGAGGCTTGACCTCTGCGCGGGAAGATGGAAGAAGGATGGTTCAAGGGGTAACCAAGGACGAAGACTCATATGATGTCGGTCAGGCGGCGAGGCGTGGCGAAGCGGAGGTGGGGTTTAAGCAGGGGGGCGCAACAAAGAGGCATGTGTCATTTGAATAGTATTCGTTAGTTCTTGGGATTAGGCGGGCGCATAGGGTCTGATCATGTTCCTAATAGACTTTGTAATGCCCGACCACCCACTGTTTGACCCCGAGACCCGGCTCACGTGCGGCTACCCGCGCGTACGAGTGCTCCTCGTATGCTGGTCGTATCCCTTCGACCGGATGCCTCTTGGGCCGCCTCCCTTACCTTCCATCGTCCAGATCAGCAAGGGACGAAGCGATGCAGCAGAAGACGCCCCTCCGGGCGCTCCCGGGTCGCAGGTCGCCGCCGCTGCTCCTGCTGCACAGAGCGGGATCGAAATGACAGGTCGGTCGAGTCTGTCGTCGGGCTCGCCCCCACGTGAAACTGCTCACTGCGACCCATGAGGCCATGTTCACTGCCCGTCGCTTCGTGTTCACTACATCTAGGAATGTGCCAGACACAATCTCGCTACCGGTCCCAAGTCCTCGAGGCAAGCCGCCATGACCTGAAGACGAGACATACCGCCTGACGCCGACGCCGACGCTGACGCTCATCCCTCTGGTGCCGGTCCACCATGGCCGTCATTCTCGCGGACCGCGGCCCGACGGTCTTTGTCGTCACTCTGGCGATCATCATCGTTGCCACTGTGTTTCTCGTCCTGCGGCTGGTCTCCAAGTGGGGTGTGACGCGCAAAGCCAACGCGGATGACTATGCCGTTATCATCGGTTGGGTGTTCGCCGTGGGACTCTCGGTGTCGATCATGATTGGGACCCACGTAGGGCTGGGAGCTCCGGACTCGGGTGAGCAGCTCACGTCTGTTACGGGCTCCACACATGAGGCAATGCGGACAAGGGATCGACAGGTCTCGAGTGATGCCTGATGTTTGATGTTCCTGTTCCCACTGACTCGTACGCTCGTACCCGCAGAGATCAAGCCGGAGTGGGTCACGCCGCTCAAGCAATGCGTGTACGCCTTCACGGTGCTGTACAACCCCGCAATCATGGCGACCAAGACGGCGATCCTGATCCTCTACTACCGGTTCTTCTCCGCCTACCTGTTCCTCCGCTACGCCTCGCTCTTCCTCATGGCGATTGTCAATATTGCCGGCGTCGTCCTCACCTTTCTCTACATCTTCCAATGTCGTCCGGTGGAAGCCGCGTTCTCCACCACCGAGGGCACTTGCATCGATATCATTGCCGTGTACCTCTCCTCGACACCGATCAACATTTTGACTGATCTGGCGATATTACTTCTGCCCCTCCCGGTCCTCACCTCGCTGCGCATGCAGTTCCGAGAGAAAGTCATCCTCGTGGCGACCTTCATCGTCGGTGGGTTCGTCACCATCGTCGACATTGTGAGGATCGTGTACCTGCAAGATGCGCTCCGGGAGGAACTTCTCGTGGACCCGCTGGCATCCATCACCTCCCGACCGCCGGATTTCACCTACTACGCCAGCTTCTCGCTCATGTGGTCCGCCGTCGAGGTCTCGGTGGGGATCATGTGTTGCTGCGTGCTCGTCCTCAAGCCGCTCGTGATGCGCGTCATGCCCAGGCTGCTCTACGAGCCTCGGGCCTCGATCGATCGTCACCGGCCAAGCAGTGGGACGCCCGAGTCCCTGTTCCGATCGGACGGATCCAAGAACCCGCGGTCGCGGTCGCGTTCTGACGACTCGAGCCACCTCGACAATATTTCGCCTCCCCAATGGATCCCTCAGTCAGCTACAATTCCGACTGCCGAGTTGCGCCCGACCGAGTCCCGCATATCACCCCTCTCGCCCAGACAGCCCAACGGGTCAGTCCTACCGGAGCCACCAGCCATAGTCGAGGGCGACGATGCAGGCGAAGACGAGACCCTGGGGTTCTTGGAGATGCTCGAAAACGATCCGGGACCTCGAGTCTCTATCCCCTCCGACACTTTCTCTCCGTTGCTGCACATACCGGCGCGCCGTCGGTCTACCATGCAACATTCCGCAGGCGGGAGCGAGCGTCGGAACACCGTGCAGACTCATACCGACGACTCCCAGGCGCCCACGCAGACCTTTTTCGACTTTGTTCAGGTCAAGAGCAGGGTGCCCCTGACCCAATTGAGCGCAAAGGAGGCGTGGTGGCCGACATTGTTCGGTGAGTCCTTGCTTTCGTCACCAACACTGACGACGCCCAGTGTCCACCCTATTCTTCCTGTGGGGCTTTGCAGCGGGTCTCATTGGAAGCCTCAGCGCGCAACTACAGAGCCTCCTGGGATACCCTCCCTCACGCACCATCACGATCCACGCTGCGATTTCCGCCTATTTTTTCGGGCCTCTGTTGGTCGGATACTGGGTCCTCAAGCTGTACGGCTTCAAAGCGACGTTCATGACCGGCCTGGTCATTTTCGCTACTGGGGCCATGTCGTTCTGGCCAACGTCCGTCCTCCGCTCCTACGCTGGATACTTCATCTCCAACTTTATTGTCTTCCTCGGACTGTCCTGCCTCGAGGTGGCCGCGGACCCTTACATCGCTCTTGCTGGACCTGGCGAGCTCTCGGAAGCCCGCCTCAACTTTGCCCAGGGGTTCTACGGCATCGCCTACGTCGTGTCTCCCATCATCGCCGACGCTGCGCTCTTCTCCGGGCCGGGTGCGGGTCAAGCGGATCTGTTCCGCGTTCAGTGGTACTACTTGGCGGTCGCCCTTTTCGCCGTCTGCCTGACCATCGTGTTCTACTACGTACCT